AGTCAAAGTAAATAATATAAATTTACTTTCTATAAATTTAGTTAATATCACATGGCGGACCAAAACATCACTGTTAACCTTTCCAGGGGGCTGTTTCATAAAACAAGTTTACCAAATAAGCCAGGTTTATTTCAGTTAGTCTGACTTCTTGACAGTTGATTTGGTTCAAAATAAGTCAGACTAACTGAAATAAGCCTGGCTTATTTGGTAAACTAGTTTTATGAAACAGCCCCCTGCTCAGCTTCCAGATCATTGTCTCGGTGGAACATAGGCTGTAATGTGTGAATGTAATACAAAGTATTAAAAAATGTTTTTTTGGTTTCAGGCCGTGTGGAAAGACTGTGGAGATCTATAGCAGATAAGCATGGCAATTCAGGTGTGGAACAAGTCAACTTTTGTTATCATTATTATTATTATTAATATTATTTAAATCTGTAATCAGCATAGATAAGTGTTCTAATGCCTTGATTCTTTCAAGAGATTCGTTCATTTTCAGTTCGTTCACCAAAGTGATTCGTTCAGATTCGTTCACTGATTCGTTCAGTGACCATTTCTTCATATTACATAAATACGCCAGCAGGTGGCGAAAAAGAGTGTCTTATGTGTTATGTTTTAAGTCAACGAACGTATTCACCTGTTACAAAAACTGATTTGGCTTTATTAAAATGTGTGCATAATCTACTCATTAAATAAATAAAGTCTAAATAAGTTGTTCAGATGACCAAAGCACAAGGTTTTCTTGCATAATTAACATTTTAATTGTTTGGTCAGACAATTACACATTCATAAATTGGGGATTAAACGTGGAGTTATGTTCTGTATGCTAAATATGAATATATAAACAAGCGTATGTGCACAGTACCTATAACTGCGCTTTGCATCTGCTGATTGCTGTTCGAGATTGACATGCTAAATGGCCGACTGACCAGGTACACTCTCAATCATTTCGTTCACGAACGAGATATGTACCAGTTCAGTCATTTCATTCACGAACGAGATGTACCAGTTCATTCAACTCGTTCAGGAAAGACATGTACCAGTTCGATCATTTCGTTCATGAACGAGATGATCTCTCGATCTCGTTCAGACTCAGAAGAAACCCGTTCAGTGAAGGGCGTATTCGTTCACTACATTCAACAAATCACATGCTCCGTCACATCTCAAACTCGAAGGCTATTGGCTCGAGGTTTAGTCATTCTTTGACAGGATGAAACAGTCCACGGAGCTACCCGGTTCACTGATCTGCGCATGCGCTGCTAATAGCACCGCGCTGCTCTGGAGGGAGGAATTTCAGTGAATGAGAAATATGAGTGAATGGATTACGTGAACGAGAACGATTCGTTCAAAAAGAACGATTCCTTCACGAACAAAACATCACTAGTGTGGCTGCACATTTGTGTTAAGTGTAGTTTCGAAGCTAAAATGAGCATTTCTAAATGGTGTTCAGTCACATAACTGGCGTCGATAGCTGAAGGGCTAAACACTGAAAACTGCAGCACGTTTGTAAGAAAGATCAGTTGACCTCAAAAGACTCAAAACAAGCTTTAGTAAACTTGTTATTCATATCAAAGTTCGTTCAAGTGTAACGTTATATAAAGTGTTTGCTCATCTGGAAGTACCCGCCACTTTTCAAACTCTTAAACGGCGGGTCATTTTGAAACGCTGAACGTGGCTAACTGTATCAAAACAGTGTTGAAAGTGAAATCAGTAGGCTGTAAGTTGCACCTTATTGATTATGAATATGAACGCAACATGGTAAATTGCAAGGTAGGTGCTTTTTTCCCCTTTCATATTCTCCTGTACATGTACATAGTATATTTTATTAAGAAGTATACAGAATTTGGTCCTCCATTGTCACTGTCTTAATGCGTTAAGCGTTTTGTAATGGTTTTCTATGGGAAAACACTTAACTTGAAATTAAAAAGTGTTGCATTCACATTCTGGGCTCATTTGCTCACCTACACATATTATGCGTGTAATGTTAATCTTGTTAATCTTATAAGTAATAATTTATATAATCTTTGTGTCCTAGGTAGTATATGATGCAGAGTAAATAATGTAAATAATATAAATTTACTTTCTATAAATTTAGCTAAAATCACATGGCGGACCAAAACATCACCGTTAACCTTTCCTGCTCAGTCAGACTAACTGAAATAAGCCTGGCTTATTTGGTAAACTAGTTTTATGAAACAGCCCCCTGCTCAGCTTCCAGATCATTGTCTCGGTGGAACATAGGCTGTAATGTAATACAATGTAATACAATGTATTAAAAAATGTTTTTTTGGTTTCAGGCCGTGTGGAAAGACTGTGGAGATCTATAGCAGATAAGCATGGCAATTCAGGTGTGGAACAAGTCAACTTTTGTTATCATTATTATTATTATTAATATTATTTAAATCTGTAATCAGCATAGATAAGTGTTCTAATGCCATATGATAATACAACAAATTCTGTATTTTCTTTTCATGCAGCTCTTTCTTTCTTTCTTTCTTTCTTTCTTTGTGTATAATTTTCAGTTCCTATGGTAATGGGTAAATAAATAAACCAAGGACCATTTAAAACCAAAATCAGTGTAAAACAATTTTATGAGGGGAAGCACTTTTAAAGAAATCTACAATATGTATTGTAACAACAGTCATTGTCATTTAAGCAGAAGCCAAACTGGATGGATGTACCCTGTGTCCTTTCGATTTTCCACCTGTCTCTGCTTGTCCTGACAGGCCGACACACTCTATGTGAATCACATAGAGAGCCATGGTCATGGAAGAATCAGAGCATGGAGAACCTCCCTAAAAACACAGATAGCAGCTCTCTGAACCCAGCTGTTTATCTGACCGTGTCTCAGAGCAGCAAGTCACTGAGGAAATACACACATACACAAGACTTCCCCAAACAGACAAGGTTATTCAGATAAGAGTGAATTACTGCCCACAGGGCTTAGAGCAAGAGAAAGATGGCATGGTAAACTCATCTCCTCGACTGCTCAGAGTTCAATTTAGACTTTTTAGGCTATAGCAGAGAACTCCCAGGATGTTTTGCAGCTCTAAAGAATTCTGTCTCTCAGCTGTCACACTGCTAATCAGCAGAACAGCCTGGAAAACGCTGTCCAAACTAGCCCCAGAATCTCAATCTCAGTATTATTTCACTATTTTAGTGAGGACATCTCATAGACACAATGGATTTTATATGGTATGATGATATTTGCTAACCCTAACCCTCACAAAAAACTGTTGATATCAGTACATTTAAAGCAAAACATTATTCATTCATTCATTTAAACAAGACTTCCAAATTGTGAGGACCACAAGGCAAAGACTGCTATTGTTTTCACATAAAGCTACTTTTATACGACCATTCAAAAGTTTGGGGTCAGTATGAGTTTTATATGGTTTTGTAAATACATATATAGAGTCTCTTACACTCACCATCAAAAATACAGGAAAAACAGTTATTGTGAAATTTGATTACAATTTTACCTGTCTATTTTAATATGTTTTAAAATGTAATAAAAAAAACAATATAGCTATAGTAAAGTATAGCTAAGTAAACCCAAACACATATACACCAATATACAGAAAAGACACACTATCAGCAGTTTGCTGAGCTGGAAATGTTTAAGCAAGGATTTGTGAGTGGTGTAAAAGTAATCAGCACTGCACCTTACAATTCACGAGCAGATCAAAGTATGAATGATAAATGCTATTTATTTGCAATGCATACTCCATTTTTGATGCTGCTTCTAGTGGATTCTGCGATAAATTCAGCAAAAAAAAAAGTTATCACACAATAATGAAAAGCAAATGTAAGATTTTAAAATGTTCCCAGATCGACAGGGAAATGTCCTGGAGGCCAAAAGGTCCAGACACAGATGATGGAGTGCACGAGTAATGCATGCAGACGTATGCAATTCTCACTTTCACAAGCATGAGCAGTTTTCAGCCCCCTCTTATCACTTTTACATTAAAACATGTAAATAAATAAGTCTATAGGTTGGCAAAATTGTCCTGTAAAGGCTCCAGAAGTTTGGGACTGTACTAGTTGGAAGAGTCACTTTGTTACATCACTTGCTTGAGGGCCCCACGGAATTGACCACAGCAGTGTGAGGGATTTAAATATAAACAACCTCTTGACACTCAATTTTAATCCCTCACATCCCTATCAGGATTCAAACCAACAACCTTCCAAATGTGACCACAGTTGCAAATTCCTCACACTAATTTAAACACGATTCTCTCCTCCTTCAATCGTAAACTGTTCAGATCATTTTGTTGAGATTACAGCTAAACAGAATGCAATGCACAGGATGAGCCACTTTAGTTATTTTCCAGCCCATTTGGCACAACAGCCATGTGCCTCTCTAGCGAAAGCTTCGTTCAAAAATTACTTTTTATTACTGAACAACAAACAACACTATTCCACAGATCACACAACAAATCTTACCATCTAAAAAATTAGGACTTTCTGTAGACTTCTACTGTCCTTATATTAATTAACTAAAGCCAATCCTAACCCTAAGATAATAACTAAAAGATACAGAAAAAGAATATATATTATAATTATTATATTATACAATATTACATTTATAACATAAATACATATTTTATTTTTAGAAAAAAATAGTAATATATATTGTAATATAATATGTATATTATGATTGATAATAGAAAGAGAGAAAGAATATATACTATAAAATATAAAAAGACATTAAAAATAAAAAATGATATATTATATAAAGTTATATATTATATATAAAACATGTACTGTATATTATATATGTATCATATATAATACATAATATATATATAATATGTCCATTTTTTATATCCAATAGAGTATATACTAAACATTTTTTTATTAAATTAAAAATATATATTTATTACGCATTCCTAATAACATTATTCATTCCTAAATACATCCTTCATAAACTATAATATTTAAATATTTAATATTTAACTATACACGTATCACTTCCGAACTGCTGTTACAATAACACGTACCTGGTGTATGAAGACCTGGGCAGTCCGGGGACTGAGCAGCAGGATGGCCCGTCTGAGCGTGTCCCGGTAACGGTTCAGCTCCTCCATCCTCATCGTGCTGAACAGAGTGGAAAAGACCTTTGTCACATTCCGGTCAACCTGTTGTAGAGACACGTCCAAACCCATTCGAGATGCCTGGTCCAGAAACCCACGCAGTCCCCGCACATCTGAAAAGAGACCAAAAGATGACGGTTAAAAACCAAGACTCATGTGCAGAGAGCTAAAAACAGTATTTAAGAAGAAGCGCGAGATGAAAATAGATCAAATATAGACTAAATATTTGATTTGAGATCAGAGATTTCCAGAGAGAATAACATCCAACCTAATTGTAAATTTCGTTCAGGGAAATGATGTTGAAAGGGATAGTAAGATCTGTGAAAATATCTAATTTTGTTTCACAAGAAGAAAGAAGGTCATATGGGTTTGGAACAACATGAGAGTGAGCAAATGAAGAGAGATTATTTTTTTGGATCAACTATCCATTTAACTTTTGAAAATTCTGTTACTTGCTCTCGAGATTTGAGGAGTCTAGGAGAAAGAATCCTGTTTTCTTGTTCCTTTGCACATCACGGCTGTCAAGTCACGTCGTGTTCAGTCTACTGAAGTGGCTTTTTGATGGCATAATCGTCTGGCATGGAGCTTTCTAACCACCTACTTGCCAAAAGGACACAAGAACCGTCCCCTAAAAGGGTCAAGACGTGAGAATGAGGCTTCAAGGCCTAATTAGCTATATAGACCAATTATAAAAATGCATGCATACTTCAACTTGACTGTGCTCATTTATGGTCTTCACTTTGAGCTCTAATTAAATTTTCATAGCATGACATTGAGGCAGTCAAAAAATGTTGTGAAGAGCTATAACTTGTCTGCATCTTTTACATTTTCTTTTTTTCTTGTAGTCACTGCTTGAAAACAGAAGAAACAGAATACTTTCAAGAACCTATCAAAGTAAAGAAGCAGAATAGACTGATAAAAAGCATTACGAAGAGCAGAAAATGTTTAGCCCATCTGCAGATAGCAGGGTGTTAGCAGCAGCTTTATCTCCTCTGTAAACAAATCTAAATCAGTTTTTCAGTAGCAGCTGGTAGTTCTAAACTAGCTTCTAGACTCACGCTGCATCCAAATATACTTACTTCTATACTATATAAAATAAAATATTATTTCCACATTCATAGTAGACATCATCCTAGACAACCACTGCATCAGCCTAAGATCAAAGTGATGTTTTTAACATTATGTCTAAGACACATGGTTAAGTGCAAGATGACGATCTCCCTTTCTTTTTTTTTCTAATTAATTGTTTTTTATTTTTTTATTTCAAGTCTCTCTTTTGCTTCAGGCATATATTTATTCAGACAACCACACAGTCCAGTTCTCAGGGTTACATTGCAACACAGGAAAGCTAATCAGGCATCAAGAATGATCAAACACCATATTATTTTGTGTGTACGTGTGTACTTGATATACTTTATTATAACTCACCCTCTGTGCAATGTAGTTTGCTATGAGCTACAAACTATTTCCATGACAACTGACCATCAAAACAGATTACTTGCCCCACACCGGCCTCAGTGTGCTTTCAAAACAACAACCAGCAAGAAAGTCTAATCATTTGAGCATTTGCAAAGAAATGAAATACAAGTGGGTTTAAATATACTAATGAAAATCCTTTCAGCATAATTGGCAACAATCTTAGTAAGATAGTAATTTTTTGTTTGTTTTTGCATTTAAATTGTTATTTTCTTAATCCAAAAGCCTGCAAGTCATCTTACTGCATATTAGCATTTAAACACATAGGCCTACCAAGAGGACAATGAAAAATGAAAACATGACAAATCATAAAAAATATACATATAAAAATACTACTACTACTACTACTACTATGAATAATAAGTTTTATTATTAGGTATAACATTTTTAAATAATATTATTAAATAACTATTATTATTATAGAACAAATCTGATAAAATAACAAGACATTTTTTCATGACGCAAGAACATGTTGTCACGGTTATGGACTTTTGTTTCTTCGTTTAGTTCTGTTTTCCTTGTCTGTTTAGTTCCTTTAGGCCCTTGTTGTTCATTTGCTCATTAGTTGATTATTACTTAAGTTCCCCATTCAGTTTTATTCATTGTCAGGTATTTATTGTCCTGTGAAGCTTGTGTTGGAAGTTCCTCTTCTCTCTTGGATTGCCTGTTCTATGGATTTGGAATAAACTACGGTTTGAACTTTTTTTCTTTGTCGTGCGCTTATATTCATTGAGCACGTATTGTGACACATAGTGATGGCGAAGTGAAGCGTTCTGCACCAGTGAAGCTTTCATCACAATTGTATTGGAAAAAGGTGCATTACTCAAAGCTTTTTAAAACTGCTGTGGCTATCTAGTGGTCATAAAAAGAAATAACACCTTCCAAAGTGTTATGTTCCATTACAGCCAGTGGTTTCACATCTGGTTCTACAACTGGTTTTTTGTTTTATTAAATTTTATATAAATGTTTGTCAAAGTCATTCTTTTGTGTTGGTGTACTCGCACTAAAATAAGTAAAATAAAACATAAATTCATAAATTTAATTTTATTTTATGTTTATTTTAACTCTGCCTCAGTCCTTAGACTGATATTTCATGGCCAAAGTTCATTTTTAAGCTCAATGTATAAATTACGATAAAAAACAATGCTAACACATTATAATATAATGTAAAGGAAATGGCGCTGAGGTTCACTTCGTTTGAACCAGATACTGAAGCAGTCATGTGGTTTTCAGACGAATGAAGCTTCAGACGTCATAGATCACGTGCTTTTCTCAAAACGAATCAAGCTCCGATACAGTGCTTCAATGTGAAATGTGTTGTTTTTTTTGATACAAGCTTCGAAGCTTCGGCGTTGAACGTAACATCACTAGTGACACATGTAACATTTAGAAAATTAATTGGCAAACAGATGAATTAATATCTCAGCCAAAAGAGACAAAAGTGTAATGAAGCATGTGCTATAAAAAAACCCACTAATTGTTAAAATTAGAAAAGGAAAAAAGAAGGTTGACAGAAATTGTGAGGAATTTTTAAAAAGCTCCATGAAAATAGGTCAATTTAACCTACAGGTGATTGAGTGGCACTATATTTAGTGATGTTAGCAGTGCTTCAGTAGACATTCAGTATTCACTAGTACTGAGAAGTAGCACATAATCATTTCAAGTAGCTGTTATTTCTGTAGAAGAGTCAGAATTTTGACCATTTAAGAGCAGGACTAAAGCATGCTTTCTACATTAACAGCACATCGAGAACGCAAGGCCAGATATAGCCTTGGTGCTATTAGCTAAGAAGTCCAGTTAATGGAAAATGTTACTTCACACTGCTTTAAGCTGATGAATGAACTTCAGCAAATACATCAGGAGGAATTGAATTTGAACCTTTTGAATAAGCTTAACATATTTAACTAAGTCACAATATATTTGCAGGAATTAAATATTATGAACCTAAACAGATTTTAAATCAATTTATATGTCAAACAATGGTATCAGGTTCTATGCGAATATGAAAATACAGTGGTGTGAAAAAGTGTTGGCCCCCTTCCTGATTTCTTTTTTTTTTTTTTATTAAAGTGTGACAAACATGCAAAAAAATAAAAAATCAGGAAGGGGGCCAACACTTTTTCACACCACTGTATATGCACATGCTACAGTATATGCTGAAACACACTTTATAAATGAATACCTAAGCATCACCATATTCAATCAGTGAATGTCATATTTTGCTCCTTTCTTGATGTTAATGACTTAGGTGTGACTTAAAGGGGTGGTTGTTTGCGATTTCACTTTTTTCACTAGAGGCGGTTTAGCCAATCACAACACATTTTGATTGTTTTCAATCAAAAACTGTTTCTATTTCTGAGGGCGGGGCTTCATAAAAGCAGGAAATGATCAGCGTATTTCTCAGAAAAGGGACAGAGCGGTGTGGAATAATGGTAAATTATGTGAAAAATAATGTGTTTTTTTAAAAACGAAGCATTAACACATGTTAGACTGCACCCCATAAACACAATCAAGCCTAGAAAAAAAACAGTGAACCACCCCTTTAAGAATGACCCATTGACATTCCCAACGCACAAACACACACAATACTTCAATTTCCCCAAACTCACAGAGATTAGTTTCGCCATACCATCATAATTCAGTTATCACAGCTGTAGTTACAAACTGAAGAAAAAAATTACTCCCTTAAGGAGACAGTCTCAGAAATATATAAACAAACAATGTGGAAATCTGTGGAAAGAAAGAGCTGAGAGAAGTCTTTTGAGAAACAAATTGGATTTGCTTAAAGAATGTAATCATATATCTAAAGGCATATACAAGCTGCTGTCTCACTGGGCAAAAGTGAAGGAGGTTTAGAGGGAATCAATGGAGCTCTAACAATGAACAGTTTGACGTTCTTCTGTTCCTTTCTTTGTAATGAAAATAATGGGCCGAAAAATAAAATACAAGGCTTGCTGTTGGATTTGGAGCTTCGTCTTGATTAAAGCAGCAAAAACAAATAGACAGCCATATCATGATGTAATCAGCAAGCTCTTGAATACAAGACCTACAGTTTGATAAAAGCAGAATGTTGCTCACGATATAGTCAGTAGAATATTACTGAGGAATAAGTTCATAGTTAAACAAATTTGAAAATTACAACAACAAAGACTGTGTAGTGGACCAAAATTGTTACTTATTAACCATATATTAGTTCAGTATTTTACAAATGCATCTTCACAACATGACGCACATTGTGATTAATGGACCTAAGGATGCTTGTTCTTTGCATTAAAGGTCATTGTAAACAACCTTTCAAAACATGTTTTTAATTGGTTCTGTATAAGGTTAGCAGTTATGAAACATCATCATTTGATCCACTACAAAGATAACTAGACAGTTGCTAGGAGATGGTAAAATCATTTCATCTGTGGTTTCTTTTTATGATTCTGTTTGTCTCAATCCACTGGCCTGCTGTACAGAGATCCGGGGGCCGGAGTGTGAGTATTGCTCATCAAGGCCATGGGGAGCGCTCTTCCTGGAAAGACTTGGAATACTTATGTCCTATTAAACGAGAGGGGGTTCGATTGACATGCTGTTGATTGGATCCACGTGACAGCATTGCAGAATCTTCACAGTCCTGAAAACTGCTGCTCAT